GAAGAAATAAAAACACTCAATTAAAACTAGATTAATAAAGTAAATAAGCAGAACTATTTATTTGGCTCAAAGAAAACTTCGCAATAAGACATCAAGTCAGGTTTCGGTTTATCTGATGTCTTCACTCATTTATATTTAGTAACCTATTTAATTTCTAAAAGTGACTAAGAACTATTGTCCTGTACAGAAATGCAATTTTATGTAATGTTTTCAAATAATGGTGTTCCCACTGGCTTCATCCTAATACACGGAAAAGTCCACAGAAATTGCTTATTGCAAGCTTCAAAAGGACAGAGAACATTTAAGGTATTCACACCATCTTAGGATAGGAAATTATGAACTCCACTATTATGAACATATTGCAGCCTTTTCTACATGCTCCAGCAAATACCCATTAGCATTATGATGCAAAGATGATTGCATAGCATATATTTTATATCTCTCAACCTTTATTCACTGAACATTTCAATATATCTGGTTTATTTGTAAAATTACTGTCTCCCATGTTTAAGATGTGGCTTAGACTTGCTTTGCAGAACACCTATGACTTCACACTAAACTCAGTGTACTTCTATAACCTCTCTTGTTACAGATAAAAACATAATTCAGTGTTGACTCTAACACAAACAGGATCATTATGTTTAGAGAGTGTTCCAAAGCCTGCTATCCAAGCAATCTATGGCATATAAATAATGCAAGACCTCTTCTTTCTCCAAATGACTTCAGTTCAAGCAGAGACGCAGAAAGATGGAAGCCCAAATTTATACTGCCATTACAAAATTCAATCTATTTCTGGTTCTTCAATTGAATTATGACCCAGAGGCTTCCACTATATTCTGCACCAACCCACATGCTCACAGTCTTTGTGAAGCCATGCAGGAAAGAATCCTATTTGTGAATATTCCTGAGCTTTATTATTATTACATTAAAATGGCAGCAAATCCCAAGTAATCTGAAAAGCTTCATGTTTGCTTTTAAAGGAAAGTAAGGTAGAAAATGGGTCTTATTTCCCCTCCCCCCTGACCTCTGAACCACAACCTCCTCGCCACTAAAGCGTTCAACACCTCATTTAATCTCTCCTCGCTGCATTGGCACAGCACTGCAAAAGGAAAAGGGAAAAAAATAATCTGGGGACTTCATCAATTTTTCATGAATTTTCATTTAGGCCAAAGCCCCCTGTAACACTGGTCGATAGATCAAGCTGCTGTCACATATTTAACACCTGGAGCTACAGCTGCTCTCCCTGGGGTCTGCCGCTGACTCCGGCTGGATCAGAAGCGGCCCCGGCCAGCGCGGGGACCCCGGCGCTCCTTCCTCGCTCACATGTGGCGCCCCGGTGCTCCCAGCTGAAATCCTAGCTACGTTCATTGCTGCAAATGTGTTTCCTGATATTCCCACTGGAAAACTCCGCCACGCAGCTTCGATCGCCTCAACTGGTGCATTGTTAAAAAAATGTGCTTTTATTTTAAGACTTCTGGCGTTCAAATACAAAAGCAGTTTGGTAAAAGATAAAAGTATTTCAAGCCTACTTCCCCTTCTAAATTCTCCCAAGAAAATCTGAACATCAACCTACGTCTAATAATTGTTCAATTTCAATTAAAAAATACTAATGGACAAAACCAAAAGAAAGCTGTTTTGCTCTTTTGAATACAACTCTTCATAGAGGTTTTAAGGGTAGAACATCTGGTTTTAATGATTTAACTGTAAAACAAAAATACTACATGAGAATTTGCCATGTATAATTTGGAAGACTTCTTTGACTGGTTGCATTAGGATTATTTTTTCCTTCTGAGGAAGCTCCTACGGAAGAATTAATCTGCATGAAGCACACCATTAATGTATTAAAACAATTAAATGGAATAAACCATATAAATCCTAAATTGTGCCTTTAAATAATAACTCTTCTAAATACCAACTATTTCTTCTTAAATGTCTTCAGGAATGAAGATATTCAAAATTAAAAGCTGTATGCATGTGCTCTGAAGAGGCATGGACATGGAAGCATACCTGATGTGCTTTATAGGGGCTGGTACCTAAATTCACGTCTGGGAAAGGTGTAAACAGTTACTCAACCCAAGAGAGCTTAGGGATTTCAGCAACTTAAAAAAACTCACTCCAAAAAAAAAAAAAAAAAACCCACAAAGGGCAAAATGACTGTGTTCAAGATGGTTGGAACCACTCTGTGTCCCAGCTGAATTTAACTTCTGTCTTCACACATAATTATGGATACATTGGAAGACTTTCAATCCCACTCCTTTTGTAGCAGGTGCTCATGGAGGGGGTAAAAAAAAAAAAAGGAAATAAAGGAAAATTAATCATAACTAACATTGTTTATCATATTAATGCATAAGCACAAACGCATCTAAACATACATACAAACCCAGTAGATATTTCTTCATAAACCATTCAAAAGTTGCAAGAGCACATTATTAGCAACTGCTAATTTAATAAGCAAAGTAAAACAATTACAGTTTCTTACTCCAGAACAGCACACTCAAGCATTTCAAACCAGCAGTCAGCCCCTCATGGCACTATTTGAGGCCACCTACAGTCAGATAACAGTCCAGAACCCTGTTGACAGCAAAAGACAACCATCCTGTTTCTGGTGATGAAAACAGCTTGGCTCGGTGTGGAAAGAAGAGTTTTCAGCACCATGACAGAGAGCACGAGTCAGGCCAGATCGCGTGCGGCCCCACGGACAGGGCTGCAGCATCCAGGCAACTCAACAGCTTTCCAGCAGGAGTTCAGGACAGGTGAATGGGAACTCACTGCTGACAACAGCCTGTCACCAGGAACTCATTTCCTGAGCATGCAAACAGGCTGCCCATCTTCTTCAGCCCAGAAATGCTGACACTAGGAAAACAAGTAAGAGACTCCAACTATTCCCTGAAAGTCACTTCAAAACTTGACTTACAACCAAAAATTACCTCAAACCCAAGCAAAAACTGTAGTTTTGCTGTCATCTTCCAAGGATGCCTTTGATACACACAAAGCACTGTCATGTGCTTTTGAGAATCACAGCAGAATTTTTAAAATCAAGTAAACAAGCAATGTATGTATTATTTACATTTTTCTTCTTTGATGAAGACAATTCTGTAATCACAGCTATGATACTGCTCAAGGAATGATAAAGCACTGTTGAAGTGAAATAGGAGAACCTGCTTTAGACTACTAAACCCTTTAATTGGGGGATTCAATAAGTTACATTTCAAAGCTATGGAAACAGCAAAGGCGCAATGTTATTGCAAAAACTTTGGCTATGGTTTCAGATCTCAGCTTCACATTCATGTTGCTCCTGCCCTAAAATACCTGATGAATGAGGACAGCTTTGTTATTTTTAAAGTTTTCTACTATCTCCCATACGATTCATACCTGACCTGCCACTAGCTACAGCAGTTAAACTTCAAAGACTGGAGATGGTGTATCAAGAGTCTCACAGTAGTCCATGAAGTAAGGATGAGTGAAAACTGACAAGATATAGAGCACATTTAAATTTCAAAATAATCCGTCACTTAAATTTGATGACTCAAGGTACAACTGGTACAATCCTTTGAACTTCATCAGGAGATCCTGAATCTCAACAGGATTACAATAAAGATTTCAAGTGTTTAAGTGTCTCTCAAAATTTCTCAACAGTTAAAACGCATGTACAAAGACATAAATAATCCAGTAAATTTATCTAGTAATACTCACCCAGATTTCAGCCTTCCTTAAGCTGATTTCTTCTCAATTCCCAAATATCAACCAAAACTGAAAAGCCTTCTGTGATGCATTTACTGGCACATTTACGTTTGCTTTGATGGTGTGCCAAAACTGTTTTCATTTTTTTGTTTGACACAGTTTTGAATCTAGGTTACAACAGGTGCAATGTAGTGAAAATGTCTGTTTTACTTGGCCTATTCTGCCATTTAAATATTTCAAAAATTACATTTGCTGTAATTTCCAAGAAAACAGAAGACTCAAGATTACACCACATTAGCTAAGAGAGTCTGAAGACTGTATTAGGAACAAAGATTTTTCTTCTGTGCTTCCTCTCTTTAAACATACCATCCACTGTGGACTTAAATCCATTCTTTATCAACTAAGCAGTACAAATTTGTTCTAAATTCCTACTTCAAATACATTTTAGGGAAACTACTTTCAGATGAAGAGCTGTGGGTGAAAAACTCAAGCCCAGCAAGAAGAGAGCACTCATAAATGTATTAACATACATTAGGCAAAAATGTACATTCTTAATAAAGAGATCAGTATTGATTCATATGTAACCATATAATTAAGCAGCAAAAAATATAATCAGTTGCACACGGGTTTTTTATGTCTGATGAGCTTGTTTTCTGTGAATATAATGAATGTACCTGCTAACTCTACTGGAAGCAGACTACTCATGCCAGGTGGGCTCTGAAAGAGCCCTGTTGACTTCTCTGTTAAGACAAAGAGAATCGATAAAGACCAGGACTGCTCTGGATGATATGAGAAATGGCCAACAATTTCACTTGCCATTCACATAATGAATGAGGCCTGGGTCAAATTTATGACTGAGGAGAACATATTGAAGTTTCTAGCAGTACAGAGTATGAGTCACCAAGATGCTGTCTGCTTCTATTGAGGTAACAGATTATGAGATAAAGAGAAACAGACAGCACACCTTAGATTAAATGATAGGTATTTTTCCACATTAGTTCCAGCAAAACCAACCTGGACATCATTTAGAAATTAGATTATTCTTCAGAAGAAGATTATCCTTTGTCCCTGTTTTTGCTAATCATGATTATACTCTGCCTAGAACCTCATTTCCGTATAAATCACTTATTCTGTATGGCCACCGCTACTGTACAAACACACGTGAAAATGCCTTGACTAACAGCAACAGCTAATGACAAAATGCTGTACTTATCCCCATTTGTTATCTCCCAGGATGCTGGCTTTGTGCAAGTGCTGGTGTGACAGCATAAAAGGCACCATGAAGTTTTACAGAATACTAAACAAATAAAACTACTCACATGCCACTTCCAGAGACGCGTTGCGACTCACAGCTTCTCCAAGGTAGTTCCTTGCTACACAAACGTAGCTTCCCTCGTCGGGTTTACTCCTGCGCCCATGCACGATGCGTAAGAAAAATAAAGATCCGCTGGGCAGCAGCATCCGGTGGGAGCGCGGATCGTCCTTGTCCGTTTCCACCCGCTCGCCATCCTTGTACCACTCAATGGTGGGCGTTGGCCTTCCCTCTGCTTTGCAGTTCAGAGTAGTTGGCTCTCCTTTAGACACTATCACATCTGAAGGATGCTCAACAATCCGTGGTGGAAAGTCCTCTTGGCGGAGACGGGATCCTAAGGAAAAGAACAGAGGGAAGGGAGAACAATTTATTTGTGCTTTAGGTGTCATGAAGTGCCCTCCTTTAATGTTACAAAAACTCAAAAAAAAAAAAAGCAAACTTAGGCAACATCTGAAATTGCTTTGTCTGATATCAGAGTCTAGACACTCCCTTATCTAAAACCTGAGATGGACTAACACAGATAACCCTCTATACTGCTTTTAAACCCATACCAGATGCACACTGTGCTAAGAGGAGAATCCCTTACACATACATGTATGACAATCCTTTTTTTTTTCCTGATAATCTTCCTATTTACATTTACTTCTAGATCACTGTGTGTTTGCAGACTCCCTTCACAGCTACTGCTTTCTCAACCTTTCATCTGCCAGATTCCATAGGAGGAAACCAAAACCACAGTCTCTTGCCACCCCCATTAATTAACTGTTTTTGCAGTTGAACATGAACGCTTTGTATCCCTTTTCCACAAACAGCCCCAATATGGAAAGACAAGGAGAAGAAAGAAAGCAAAAAGGCAAATCTCAGATGTCAGCTCACTTTAGAAATTTTCAGCTTCAGGATCGCACGTATACACACACACATAAATACAATATAAGCAGAGAATCATAGAATGGCCTGGGTTGGAAGGGGCTTTGAAGCTCATCTCATTCCAACCCCCTACCATGGGCAGGGACACCTTCCACTAGACCAGGTCGCTGAGAGCCCCATCCAGCCTTACCTTGAACACTTCCTTCCACATTAATGGTACAGACACTTTCCACTCCTGCATGTCTAATTAGACTACATGAGCCTGGAAAATAATTCTGCAACAGTCACAGCAGTTTGTGCCTCAATAATAATATTTTCAAGCATGGATCCTGAAAATCCTTTGAGTGGAACTGCCACACTGCTACAATTGGTCTGCACTGCTTAAATACAAGGTAAACCAACCTCTGCAGGTTAATGAAACATTTGTGTCAATTTTCTGATCAGAAGTTTTGCTGAGTGGTAGAAAAGCAAATGTCTTAATTATATTCTAGGCTCTACATACTTTAAAATATTTTCAATGCCTCATTTACTGCAAAAGTTATGAGGAAAGGCATAAGGATCCATTCAACAGAGTGAATCCACCTTTGGACTTCTGTTTTACTAACACTCAGGTCATTAAACCATGGCTTGCCACTGCAGTTAAGTGTTACATTGCTGCTGCACAAATTGGTTCTTTCAGTGGCTTCCAGATTCTATTACCAGAACAGCAAAGAAATCCATAATCTGCAATGCCTGCACATGAAAAAATCCCATAATCTATAGCTAAGCACAGATGAACTTATGGGACATTTCAAAGAGAATTATATATTTTATTATCCAAATAAAAAAATATCTAATAGGAGAATCTCCAGCTAAAAAATAACCCTAGTCCAAGACCCCATACACAACATCAAAAAAGACTAAAATCACCATTAAAGTGAAAGATAAATATCTGACAGCACATGGGACGCAAAAGCCAACTTCACACTCTAATTAGAAACATTTTTATGACTAGACATGTCTAAGAACTTAATTCATTGCTTATTCTTAAAAAGCAAACAAAACACCCCTAGTTGTGTTAAGAAATTTCTATTAACAGTATCAGGAAGAAAAGGAAAGCTGAGATGTTTCCAGAACAGCAGAGGGACTTAAGGCAGAGTACAGATACAACTGAATTTTGATAACTGCTTAACACAGGGTTACAAAATCAGTAACAAGAAACATGAAACGTAAACCCAAAAAATTAGTTTTCTTGTATACAAAGGTTTGTTGATAGTGTTCAGAACTCTTAGAAATATATGCTACACAGACTTACACGCCATGTTTAAAGCTGCGCAAAAAGCATTCTCCCATAAAAAGCTTAACCTTATACAACCTGATTAAAAACCCCTCCTGAGGTCACAATAGGCTGACTCTTCCTCAGTACTGATGTTTACCTCAAAACTGGTGCTTACTCACTCCATCCTAAAGAAGCAATTTGTGCACAAGAGAGGGTCGAGATGTGAGCAGCCAGGACCATGCCAATGTACCAGGAGAAAGGCTCAGGAGGTGTTTCAAGACGGGATCCGACCACACACTCCTGTGATGGCTGGGTGCACCTTCAGCTATTCAGGGCTACCAGGAATTCCCCTCATCGTGCACTTAGAGGAGGGGAGAAGCAAAACACACACAAGATCATTCACAGAGCACACTGAACTTCCTCCTTCCAAAGTGAACAGAGCACCAACACGCATTCCAAAAGTTATGCTGATTTAGAACTAACAAAGGAAATCAGAAATTTGGCTCCACTGCTTGTCTCTAGACAGCATCTGCATATCAGAAAGAGACAGACACAAGTGGTGTTTGATTCTAGTTTTGATTCTTTCACTGTGGTCCCCCTCCCAATTCTCTTAAGAGTACAACCTCATTTAGAAGGAACAGAAATTTGAATAGTCCCATGAGCTGTCTGGGCAGAGGATGCTTTTACTGCAGAGCAAGATGCAACCACAACCTTAAGCAGGCAGCTGTGGTATATCCTGGGCTACCCATACAGCTTCCTTTTCTATTCCTCCACCCCAGGATTTCCATCAGGTGCATGCATAGAACATATGAGCAACCCCTGAGTTTAGGAGCCCTTAACTCTTTACAGTGATAGGCTACAATGACTTCACATGAGCTTCTACATGCTGGTGAGAAAAAGCAAAATTTCTACAATATTAGAATTGATGGAGCTATTCCACAGGAGGGGTCCAGTGCCTCACCACCCTCACAGTCAAGAATTTCTTCCTAATATCTAATGTAAACCTAGTCTCAGTTTAAATCATACCCCCTTTGACCTGTCACTTCAGGCTCTTGTAAAACATCTCTCTTCATCTTTCGTTTAGGTTCCCTCCAGGTACGGGAAGGCCACAGTTAGATCACCCCAAAGCCATCTCTTTTCCAGGCTGAACAATCCCAGTTCTCTCAGCCTTTCCCCACAGCAGAGCTGCTCCATCCCTCTGACCACCTTGGTGCCTCCTCTGGCCTGGCTCCAGCAGCTCCCTGTCCTTGCTGTGCTGGGAGCCCAGAGCTGGATGCAGCCCTGCAGGTGGGGTCTCAGCAGAGCGGGGCAGAATCTCTTCCCTGCCCACAGGGCTTTGGAGGTATCCCAGGACATGTCTGGCTTTCCAGGCTGCCAGTGCTCATGGCCAGCTCATGCCCAGCTTAATGGTGTGCTGTGGCATGTTCATGTGTGATTAAATTAATCTTCACTTTAAATTGAACATGGAGTTATCAACTTAGACTAACATACTGCAATACAATGTTTTGTCACTAACAAACACAGCTTTCATTTTCAGATACCAGAGCCTGCTAACTACTGACAATTGCTGACCTGATAAATGCTGACTGATGGGAAACACTGTAGTTCTCATAATAACTGGTGACATTATAGATTTGTCATAAACTGTCACTTCATAAGTAAAGAACATTTGCATTCATATCTACCTTTATATGAATCATTTCTGCAGCAGTCAGTGTTAATGTCCTTTGAGGTCAGGACACTGAATAGGAGAAGTCCAGCCTCATATTGGAATGAAGCAAAAGGAAACTACTGGGGGACACGTTTTGTCACAAAAAGGCAAAAGAATGCACCAGTCATTTGTATGTCCCTGTGCAGCACATGTATTGAAATATATTCAGCAACACTTCTTACACTTTTCTTCCTGTATTATGAATTTATGTACTTACATATTTGCAATCAAGATAGGGAAAGAAAGTAAGAAAAGTGAGGAAAATTGAAAAAAGCAGAAAAAAAAAAAAGTAGCCTGCATATTGTACTTCAGGTGTCAACACTCCGCTCTTTTACTCCCCTACTTGAACTTAATTCAGATGTATTGGACGAGAAATTCCCTGAGAATCACCTCCAAGACTACTCCTTTGGGAAGCGTAAAAGACAACAATCACTCATTCATTTCAACCACTTCAACACCAGGGTGCCAACTATGTCAGGCTGTCTCCACAACTACCACTGAGCCTCACGGATTTGCTTTTATATGCTCAGACTTCCTCACAAGTCTCCTCAGGGACTCAGTGTACAATACAGTTACAGCCACACTGGTAGCCTATCAGCAGAAGGTCTATTATTTTCAGTTTAGTCTGGCTAATCCTACAGTCAAATAACCTAAAAATTATTTGGATGCAAGCATTTTTATTAATAAATGAAATAGATTTGCTGTAGACACACAGGTGCAAGTAGGAAAGGAGACTAAAGCAAAGAGTCAATACTCTATTCCTCTTTACTGCATTTCCTCAGAGTCACTATGCAAGCTCTGTCCTAAGAGGAATAGTCTGGGTCCCTAAAGATTATTCCAAACCCCCTGCCATGACTTGACCAGGTTGCTCAGAGCTCTGTCCAACCTTCATGGGATGGAGCATCCACAACTTCTCTGGGTAACCTGTTCCAGGGCCTCACCACCCTCACAGTTAAGAATTTCTTCCTAACATCTAATCCAAGCCTACTCTCTTGTCAGTTTTAAGGCACTCCCCTTATCCTGTCACTCCATACTCTTGCAAGAGGTCTCTCTCCATCTTTCTTGCAGGCTCTCTTCAGGTGGGAAGGCCTGAAAGGCTTCAATTAGCTCATGTGCTCGCTGTGTAACACACAAATCATCACAGAAAAAGACATTTGGCAATTCACCTTCTAGTGCTCCTAGTCCACAATCTTTCAAATTTCTAGGAAGATACTTTCATTTATTGCACTTCACATTCTTCTAGTTTTAATTTACTTCACATAAAGACCATTGATTTAATCTATTAAGCCTACTCTCTAAATAAGCATCCACAAAGCTAATGGTCTGTCATAACAGAAAAGCAACGGTACAGACGAAATTCAGAGACGTTTAACTCATTTCTCAAATCAACAAAACATTCATGGCTACTGGGACAGCGGTGGTTAAGAGACAGGCTAGCAATTGCATTGAAACTACTGAACAATTTTAAAGAAAAAACAATATTGTATTAGTTTACATG